GTATAATGGTTCATTAAAAGTCTTTGACATAGTGGACAATAATAATAATAATAATAGTAATAATAATAATATATTATGACGTCTTGTGTGGATGTGGAGGTACGGAGATATAATGATTCATTGAAAGCCTTTGCTGATGTGGTTTCTCGTACTTCAAGAATCAGAAGCCTTTGCTGGTAACCCCTTGTATTCATCAAATCCCGCCATAGTCTTGAGCAGTAACTTATCCGGAGGTGGAAAATTGGTGCCCCACCTCAGCCGGATCATGTAGATATTAACAGTCAAAAGAAGCTACAACTCTGAAGGTAGGGCCACGTCACAGCTATCTCCTCGACTCCCACGTGTAACAACTCTCGAACCTTTCACTCTCGACTGTAACAGGTTACACCCATTTAGAATCATGGTCCTATGCCACTCGCCCCATCCACCCTGCAAAAAATCTGGATTCGCCACTGAGCGTCATGCCTTTTAGCTTTGAGCGATTAAGCCCCAACTAACAGTCGTGTCGCAATAGTGATTAAAATATTATAAATAGCTATGACGAATAGTTTGAGTGATCCGACCTACACCAGTTCACGAGAATATTTGCACCATACAGCACTTCTTTTGTGGACCAAAGAAAAACTCACTCGAAATATTCAGAATGTTTTACTTCGTATAACTTATATTTCTCTGATATAGTAATGTTCAGGTCAGCTTCTCATATTGACGTTTTCGTTGATTCTCTTGGGAATAATCTATCAGACTTCTATTATTACTATTTAATCAGTTTGGTGAGTTAGCAACGATTATGGGTTTGTTAGTACAGTATATGATTTCATTGTCGTTAAACTAACAAAATTTTACGTTATAATAACGTTGCAGTTTGGTGTTTTGTAGAATTTTCTTCAACTGAAACACAAGAAAGATTGTCCACTCCAATTAACGGACTTCGAAAAACATACTGTACCATTCGCATAAGCCCTCCCCAGTAAATTTCTGGCAGCAATTGTAATATGTTTTAGTAAATTATAAACAGGGGTTTCGCCAGCGGGAAATAGGGGAATGTCCACCCCAACCCCCCCCCCCGGTGGGCAGAAATAAAACGTAAATATATTTTCTACATAGGCCTATTTAGTAGACTGTAACATCGACTAAATAAGCCTTTGCAACACCCTAAATTGTCATATTTTTCTGGGGCTTCGACTGAACACTTTCGAGATTTTGAGCGACGCCCGACCACGCCCACTTTTTTTCGTTGGTAACGTCGGCCCCCCGTCGGGCACGTCTTGGCGCCACCTCTAATTATAAAGCAAACTTCAGGCCCGTAGCCAGGTTCTTCCAAGGGGGGTGGGGGGTTTTCTGGGCGTGAGGTCCACGGTCGAAGCCCCGGTGGGGTCGCCGAAACCCCCAAAGCAAGAGGATTTTTGTGCTTTATGGGTTTAAATAATGCTATAAAAGCAGATATGTTTGAAAACGTCTGTGTCTGGGGTCTGCAGTGCATTAGTTGGGTTGGGTC